AATCTTGGCAGAAAGAACTATATTGTTTTCAGACCATGCTTACACTGATGGGTCCAGCTTTGCTAGGCTTGAGCACGTCTGACGATCTGCCCTCGCTACGTTCAAGTACATCTTAGTGTAGAATGGCTCGCGAGCGCTGAGCTTGCTTCATTTCGGAGTAAGCATGTTCCACGGAGACTTTCCAATGCCAAGAAGCCACGAACAGGCGATCTCCCCAAAACTACGGGCTTCCAATTGCCCTGGAAAATGCACACATACTGTGGATGGAAAACGAAAACCATTTCGCACTTTGACAACGTGGTTGAAACCTGTATTTGTTGGTATTTACGTTGGGGAATCGAATCAGAAACCAGGGCTCCCTTTAAAACCAACAACGGGGGAGAAACAAAAAACAAAAAAAACGATCCATTTCAGACGGAAGTGGATCAACACTTTAAGGAGCAGTCAATCTTGTGATTGCCTGGGGATCTATCAACTTATCCAACAAGCTGAGTATCTCAGGTAACCCGTCTGCGGCTTGGATTAGTGATTTGGATCTGGATTTGAATCCCTGGCTCTTGCATCACTAAACCACCGGGCTCCACCAATGAGTGCGAAGCGCAGCTTCAAGCCCGGCCAACAGAAACCCACAGCCGGCTTCTCTGCGCGGAAAATGGGTCTGGCTCGAATTTAAAGAGCTACGGCTACGCAGGCTTTAGTCTTTGGTTCCATGTACCCAAGTGCCAAATTTTGGTACCACTTCTTTGAGCCACAGCCAAAATGGCAGCTCGCTGTCCGATGCAACCGAAGCCACGCCAGCTTTCTCCTGGAAGGGGCAGTTGGGCCAATGTCCAGTGTCAGCATTTGGGTTGGGCATGTGCTAAAACATCGGCATCATACAAATGGGCTTCCTCTTGGCTGCCCTTAGGGCTACCAAGTCCCCAGTTCTTTCAGGCATGCTGGTTCAGGTTGACACTGGTGCGCATGGTTTCGTGCTCCGCTCCTTGCGCTTGCTGCCTTCTAACCAGCTCACAGCAGCAGTTGATTAAGTTTAAAAAACCAAAAATAATGGGTGTGTCGCAATCTCCCCGACATGGGTGTGTTTTTTGTTGGTTTCCCTTTAACAGCAACACAACAGAAGCACCCTCAGGAAAAGACACGCACAAACGGTGTTGTCACCAGAATTCACCACACGAACCGCAGGGCCCGACAAGCACGCAGGTCGAAACAAGCACTTCATGCTAGTTGCAAAGGGGATGGTACACTGAGTCCCCGCAAACACGAGCAAGGCACCAATCCGCTTGCGATTCCCTTGCAACGCCCCGACCAATCAAAACGGCTTCCAACCAAACATACTATTCCACAAGAATTGTCGCCTCAGAAAAAAAAAGGGCCACAGTCCGCAAACAGGAAGGGGTTCATTCATCCCCCCGAAAGTTTCTTTGAACAGATTCTCAGAGGGCTTCTACCTTTCTTTCAGGATCGCTGGGTTTCCTGTAAATAGACCTATCCTTTTGAAAAGAATCCCCAAAGGCCACCGCCCAGGGTCAGCTTCTCTCCAGTTGGTGGCCTGGATCCACAGGTTCGAATCCCCGAACCACCTAACTAAGGGCTACCTGAGTGGGGGAGGGCGATTCATTTGGGTGTCTTCTTCTGCGGGAAACCCTTTTTGGGTAGTTTTAAAGCAAAAACCAACAGCAAAGCCGCTTTGCCATTTTCGGGGGTCTGATTCCCCCCAAAAAAAAACTGACCAGGCGTCACATACTGATGGACGAAATCCTCCACCTAAGAAACCCTATGATATGATTCTGCAGTGGTTTCCCACCCACAAAAAAACACATACCACCAAACACCCTGGGGAAATGGCTGGCTTTTGAAAAGAACCATGGCTGACAAGAATGGAAAAGAGATCAACCCAGCCCCTAGACTATGATTCCCCTGCAGGGGTTCCACCCAAAAAGCTGTTTGCAGCCATTAAAGCAGCCAGATGGTTCCCCTGCAGCCGCACCCCCCAAGAGAAAGGGCATGGCCGTTTAATTTTTGCAGCCGCCCTTCTCGTCCTCCACCTCCTTCAGCTTGGCTTCCAGCTCCGCCCGGGGCTCCGCAGTGATCTTCGCCACCTGCTTGCAAAAAAAAACACGTGTCGACGAACATTTGGTGGGTAAATTTACAGTTTTTTTGGTGGTACTTTCTGGGTGGTTTTGCAGGGGTTGTTTGGTTGGGACTTCGTGTTTTTAGGGAAACCAAGTTGTTTTTCTTTGGAGGGGGGGGATCCCCTAAAAAAGAGACACGCACCCACATCTCAAAAATCAGAAACAGAAGCAAGCCGTTGTGGGCCCAATGCCATGGTCAAAGTATGTATCTGAAGGACTCCTTCCGTTTAAGTGTTCTCGCCCCCTTCGGACAACAAAAAAACAACGTGAACAACCATTATGTCCACTGGTGAATTCGATTCCCTTCAAAACCAAAGGCACACTCAATATCCAATTCAGCAAATGGAAGACTCGCAAGGTTCATGCGTGAGCCCCTTCTTTTCTCGAGCCTTGCACCACATCTGTCTCATGGCTCCGCTCTCCCGCGCCTCCTGCTCGGCTCGGGACAGCAGCTTGCCGCCCTTGGATGCCTTCAGCGCCAAAAGACTGGACGGCTCGGGCTCGGCTTCTCTCGATGTTGGCACTTTGGGTCTGGATTTTCCACACTCCCTTAAAAATTGTTTTTTTTGCCCCAGCATTGTGGGGCGATTTTTTTCCATCTTCACGCATAGTTTGAGGCTCGGTCCAGGTAGGTGTTTTTCTGAAAATTGGAGGGTTGAGAGCCCTTGCTAAGGGCTAAGGAAAACCCAAAGGAAAGCACGAACCCCGGTTTCGGGGTCCGAATCCTGACACACACGAACCATCACATGCGATTAGTCCGCTTCAACCCACAGGGTCTCTGTCAGCTCTTCTCCAAATGGCTGTGGCGTAACCCCCAAAATGTGGTTACCTTGTAAGTGGAAACATGGACTAAAACCAGTGGTCCATATCCTGGTGGCTGAATTCTGACCCATGCCGCAAAAAATCATCTTGCTCTCAGCCTTTGAAGGGTAACTTGTAAATCCAAAAAAGGGTTGCCCGATCGGTAAATGTACAGGACTCCAAAATCAAAATTCGGCAGGTAGCCTGGTGGTTTCAACTTGACCCATACCCGGTAGGTCTTTTCTGGTGCTAGCTGCCCTTGCCCAGTCTACCCAGTTAGCAGGGGAACCCTAAAGGGTAGGGCACCTAGCTGGGGCACCTAAAGGCGGGGGGCAGGCGGTTGCTGGCCCTGGCGTCTGGGGTGTCTGAGGCGTGGCACCACTTGCTCCAACTGCTTCCCGGAGTTCAGCTTGGCAAGCTCAAGGCCCTTCACCGGATTGTCCTAAAAGAAAACGGACCATCCCGGGAATTACGACCCCCGCAAAAAATGAACTATGTATTTGTTGCATGGCTGGTGGAAAGCAATGGGGACTCCAAAAAAGCAAGAAAAACAAAAAAGAAGATAAACACAGAAGGGAAGCTATTCTGAAAAAGTACCCTAGGTCAAGGGATCATATCACCTGGGATCCTTTCATGGGATCATTGCCAATGGCAAAATGTGGAAAGGATCGATGTCTTGGGGGCGGATTCCTTGTCCATTATTTTCAACCATCGTTCTTTTCACAAAACGGATCCGTTTTCGTTGGGAGGTGTTCTAGACAGAAGGATCCCTGGAAAGAATGGAGATGGAAGGTAGCCTTAGACTATTAGAGGATGGTCAACAATCAACCCTCAAAATTGCCAGCTAAGAAAGGGAAGTTTCCCCAACCATCATTTTGGGGCGACCACCTTGCCAACTTGAAAAAAATGGACATTTCACCCATCGCTCTGCGATAACCTTGCTGGCGCGATAGGGGAATGGGGAATGACCCCAAGAAACCATCCAACTGGTTTCCTTTCAAGAGGTTCATTCCAAGAGGTCCATTCCCTCCTGCCAGCTTGGTTTTGAAGGGTGAAGGGTGCAGCCTGGGTTGGGAAATGGAACTGGGCTCAGCTGAACATGTCCCATCGCCTCTTGCGGGCCCGGTTTGGAGAAAGCGCTGGGCCTGGTGGTTTGGAGCTTAGTTTGGAGCTTGGTACCTTCCCCCGTTGAAATGGCTGTGGCAACCAAAAAGCCGGAAGTCCAAAATGGAAGGCTGGGTGGAAACTGGAAACCCAAAACCTGCGGTTTGCCCCTCCGATCGTTTAATTTTGAGCCACACCCAAATGCCCAAGGCCTTCTATCCAGGATACACCTCCTACCAACTGGTACGTGGAGTGGATTTCGTCCACTTTGACGGGGGGCCAACGGAAAGCCGACCTCACAGAAAAAAGAAACATCTGAGGAGAATCCCGAGGGCAAACGTCCACTGAAACTCACATCCGCTCAAGTGGAGTGGGCAAGACAAATGTGACAGCATGTGTTTTTTCTTCCAAAAATGGTCTTCCCAAAGTTTAGAAAGTGCAGGAACTCGGGGTTGCATCAGCCAGAGTCTTTCAGTGTTTCCTTTGACGGGCGGTTCTTTTTTGTGTTTTTCTTTGGTTTTCCCTCTGGGTTTGGTCTGACCCACAATATTCCATTTCGACAGGCCTTTGGGATTCCCCTTCCAAAGGACCCCAGAGTGCGTCCCAGGATTCCACTCTGTTGATGGGAATCTCCTACACTGCAAAACCAAAGGACCCCAATGATCATATGGCTGCACGCATTGTCCAAAACCAAAGTTTGGGAATTGGTACCAATGGAACACTGATAGTTCTGCCAACCACTTTGCTTGGGTTCCTTCACAAAGCAAAACGCGACTTTTACTCCCCAACACCCAAACACTCAAACACTGTTTTGTTTAATGGACCTACTTTACTGCCCAAAACCCAAAGACTAAGAATTGGATTCCATTTCTGGGGATTTACATTGGCTCATTTTACCGCTCTCCGGCTCGACCCCTTTTTTCCGACTCCTCCCCGAGGCCGTTGAGAAAGGCCCCGATCGCAAAGATCACTGCAGCCACCTCGAAACGAGAACTCGGTTGCTTTCCGCTCCCCTGCGAAAAGTTTAACTTTTAGTGGTTTAATGGAAAACCCATTAGTTGGCAAAAAAAATAAAGTCCTAACAAACCCAAGCAAAATGCACCAAAGATAAGATTGGGGAACCCAACTAAACTGGCTATCCTCACCTGGCTGTGGCGCTCAAAAGTAAGGTAACTTGTAAATCCCAAAAAGGGTTGCCCGATCGGTAAATGTACCCAAGGACTAACACCCGCAGTATCCAGGTGGCTTCAATTTCACCCATACCGACTTGGATCTCCAACAAGCTATGTAGGTAATCGCACCATGAGTACCAAAAGGAAACTGACATGCCTGACGTTGGTTGAACCTTTACAATCCTTGGTATGGTACCTACTAAACAAAAACAGTTTCCTTTAGGTGTCTTTTTAAACCCCCAACAAACAATTGGCACCCCTTGTTAAAGAGACAAAGACCCAGGGAGACGGGAGGCGTTTTTGTGGCCTCAGCCTTTGGTCGTTGCCATGGAACCCACCAAAGAACTGGTCCCTTGTTCCAGGACGGCCTTCAGGGCGCCCAAGAACCTTGAATAAGCCGGGAGCCGTTTTTGATGCCGTATCTGTACGGCATTTGGGGACCCCCCTTTGCGTGTTCGTTTAAGGACAACCTGCAAGGAACCAAGCAATTTGGGGCTGGCTCATTTGGAGAGAGTCTTTGTTTCGTCCTGACACGGCGGTTTATTCCCAAACCAGGTAGAACCGTCTCAACAAATAAAAATGGCTAGTGGGGTTGGGTTGCTCACAACAGGGATCGGTCCCCTAAGATGGGCTGCTTCCTTTTAGTTCCCTTCAAATACCAACCAAAAAGGGATCCACCATATTATGTAAAAAAAACACACACCAGCTTTGAGGGCAAACCAAACACCATGTTCGAGGTCCCCCGATTTAACTCATACCCACATACATTTCATTGACAAAAACACGTCGTACCAGTTGGTGGGTGGTTTGTTCCAGTTGCGGCTCTGTGTGTGTGTGTGTGTGTGTGTGCGTGCGTGCGTGCGTGCGTGCGTGCGTGCGTGCGTGCGTGCGTGGGTGGGTGGGTGGGTGGGTGGGTGGGTGGGTGGGTGGGTGGGTGGGTGTGTGTGTGTGTGTCTGTCTGTCAATGTCTGATGTTTGGGGCAAGAGCTCGGAGTGTGCGAGCCTCGTGCTGGCTTGAGGGCGTTGGCGCATCACGGAAACCGGCTTGCTGTACAAAAAGTCTAGGGCTGTACTCATAATGTGCATTGTGATGGCTTGCTATACGACAGCACTCTTCATACTTCGCGGCCATGTGTTTTTCGCAACCCCTGACTAAGATCCTTTGGCTCGTTTGTAAGTGGGCAACTGGGTATACCCTGCTCGGTTGCTCGTCCAAAACCAGCCACTTTAACAGTTGCGTTCACTCAGTTTCTCAAGCAAAGGCAATTCAAGCTTGCCCAGCAAAGCCATCAGGAGATGTTCCCAGAAACCAGCAAATTTTGTGAAAGCCCCACCTTACCCCCAAACTAGCAAGGTTCCAAGGACACATACCCGCCTGCCCCTTTAAGCCCCAAAAAGACTTGCTGGTACGATAGGTAGGAGAAGACCGAATGAAACGTTTCGGGGATTCCCTTAAAGGAAACCAAGGGAGGGTTTAGAGGGGTCATTACAACACATTCCCTCTCCTGCTCGACGAGATCCTTGAACAAATTGCGGTACGGTGAAATTTTGTTTGGCAGCTCTCCTATAGACCCTCACTTCCGATCGAGTGTACTGGTCAGAAGTAGTCCCACCTTTTGGCTGCCACCCATGATCTTCCCAAACCTTCTAAAGTCCCAGGAAGGGACAACAAATACAAAATGGGCGGTGTGCTTTCGGTTTCCCTTTTAACCCCACACCAAAATTCAAAATTGGGGTCCCCCCCAGCCAAAGTGGAGGGACCCGTTTCCTTTTGATTTCCCTTTAAACCCCTATAAAAGTTGGGAACCCCACCACAATCGAAAGGGTGTTCGTCTCCCTTTGATTTGCCTTTAAACCGTTCATGAAACCCCTAACAAAAAAGACGTCTGGTGGCCCCTCAAGAGACCGCGTTTTCTTAACCCCCCCTGTATTTTTTCTTCTTCGGGTGCCTTTTGATTTCCCATTAAACCAATGCATTCAAACCCCCTAACAAAAAAAAAAACATGGCCCCCCAAGACACCGCTTTTTTTTCCCCCCGGCTTTCTTCGGGCGCCCGGCGTAGGACAAGGTCTGTGTGAGGCCCAGCACGCCGAAGGGGCCCTCGGGGAGGCCCCGGAAGCGTAGCACAACCGAGAGGGCGCTCCAGAGCACCACGCCAAAGGTCACCACCACGCCCACCCCTCACGGGCGTAGGCTCGGGATTCTTTCAAGGGGAGAATCGGGGGGGGGGAATGTGGGTTTTGGTGGGGGAGTTGGATTTTTTTCGGGTTTTGGGTGGGGGATTCTTTAAAGGGGGAATGGGGTGGGGGGATGTGGGTTTTGGTGGGGGATTTGGATTTTTTCAGGTTTATTTTGGGTGGGGGTGGGGGGTTTTCGTTTGGGGGATTTTGGTGGGGGAAACGGTGGGGAGCATCTGAAGGCTTTTTTTTCGGGCAAGTCGAGAAGGGGTGGACCTGGGACGTGCGTTCCGAAGTGGGGTTTCTTTACTTGTTGTTTCATGGGGTATCGGCTTCGGTGGCCCCATGTTGGTTTCGGTGGGGGATTTCGAATTTCGGTTTCGGGTGGGGGGGATTTCGGTTTCGGGTGGGGGGGGGGTTCGTTTTGGTGGGGGAAATGGTGGGGGGAATGGGGATGAGGAGGATTAGGTGGGTGGTGACGGTCGGTGTCCTCCGGGAACTTGGCCTCGTCTCTTGGGATCAGTGCGGCCAAGCAAGTTCTTCCGCTGGTTTCGGCTAGGATCCGTGGGAATGGTGGGATGTTGGGAGGAAGTATGGTGGGGGGATGACGCGGTGGGTCGGGGGAAGGTGGGATGGGCATGGTGGGGATGGTGGGGATATGTGGGGATGGATGGGGAAGGTGGGGTGGGGGGGGAGGGGGGAAGCTGGTTTTACTTTCGCCTGCGGTGAACACTTGCTGCCCTAAGCATCTTGGACCCTCGGAGGTCCCTTTGCCCCTTCAATGAAGGGGGAGGGGGAAGGGGGTGGGGAGGGAGCCCAATTCTGTCCTTATGACTTGTTAGTGGCGTGTTTGGGTTTTCTCCCTCCCCAGCCACCATGAAACAAGAAGTAACGACCCCCCACTTTCGAACTCACGCCCGACTCGTCCACTCGACTCGACTCGACCTAACTCGAGCCTTCGCCAAGCCCCAGGACTCCGCTCGGCGACAGCGCGTTCTTCTCGAGGATCGGCAAGAAGGCCTGCGCTAGAAGGCTCCGCGAAACCGAAAACTCACTTCCAACTGAGTGGATTTGCCCCCCCAAAAAGCGTCAGATTCTGTTTCCATTTGCCAAGACGGGTGGAACTGAACCGTACTTCTCTTCAACTGAGCGGAGTTGCCCCGAAAGACGTCAGACAACTTGTCCATGTTCCACTAATATGGTCTTTAAGTTCAGGAACTCAGGGACCCAGACATACCAGCATCTTACATGGGTTGATGTTTGTTTGATTCGTTTTGGGACTTCGGCGAGGCTTTCACAAAGAGCTGTACTTGGAAGCAGTACATGATGCAAGTCAGGTCAGAGTAGCTGCAATGAGACCTGAGCGTGTCTGTGTGTTCGTTTTGTGTGTGTGTGTGCCTTTTCCTCTTCTTCTTTTTTTGAGGGGGAGAGACACGTTCCCTCACAACCATGCTTCATTAACATACTTGCGAAGGATGGAAGGATCTCTCGAGTAAGGCCAAACAACGGTTGATGACATCAGCAGCAGGGACATTGTTCATGCAAACACGCCGAAACCAATGCAACTTCAAAGATTCGATCCAATATGTCAAGAAAAAGTCCTCTTGGGTGTCCCATGTTCTCGCACGATGCTGAGCACAGGAGATGCTGCATGTTGAAATACTTGCCAAAAGATGTCTCATCGACCCGAGTGATCGCAGAAGAGACGCGACTCTTTAAGGGACCACTTTGCGAGGGGCAGACAAGCGCAACGAGGCGGGCAGGAAAGGCTCCGCCTGTGCATGCAGTGAGGTTCACATATCGGGCGATAACGGGTTGGTACTCAACCAGAATCCCAGGGCTGCATGTTGCACCTTTGGATGACGCCGCTTGGGAAGCAATCCATGGTCCAAATTGATAAGGCATCAAATGGCCCAAGGCGGAATGCCCCAAAAAAATCCCAGGCCGTGGCAAAAACCATTGCAAACAGGCGATTCTTTGGCCCCAACAGGTTTCTTTTTTTGGAAAGGCGGCGTAGGGTCATGACGACGGTTTGCCACACGAGTCACTGCGCACTACTGTGGATGGACAAAATCCTGCACCACCTGAGAAACCCTGGAATGGTGATTCCCCTGCGAATACCAACAAACAATGGTTTCCCATGGTTTCAATGTGGTGCAGGATTTTGTCCATCCACAGTATCACAGTTAGCTCATGCATAGCAACATATTAAGGGGTGCTTAGGACCACATGCCACATTGTTCCCTAAGCAATCATGCGACGGGTTAGAAGGCGTACAAGCGAAGCTGGTAAAAAAGCGAGCTTCGCTTGCTCGCAATGTAGTGCGAGGGCTTGCGTAGAACTGGTTGTGTGCGAGGGCAAGAGGATCGGAGCAATGTCTGCAGGCATTGTGATTTGACTTGGTAAAGTGCAGCACCAGCCATTGAGTCAGCAAGCAACTTCATTGTACAACAGAGTGATACACTCAACATTGGGCCGCCATCGCAAATGAACATACTAAAAACTTGGCACGATAATCCTGGATACAGCAACCTAAGGACTGCTCAAGGGATATTCCCCGCAAGCGCAGGACGCCCTCCAAAGGCATCGCTACTCATCAACTAGGGTTTCCTGTTCCTATTCGCTGACCTCCGACTCGGGCCGGCCTGACCAGTGGTCGCCAACTGCACGGCACTGTAAATGCTCAACACCTCGGAACCAGCTCGGAACCGCTGCACCCGGCCGAATTGATACGCATCTCAGGCGCAAAAGGACGAAGGCGCGCTCGGAACATCCAATAGTGGACCCTGGTCATACATGGATTGCAGCAAACCTCTTGTTGCATTCCGAAAACGGAGCAATTGATCCCCGAAGTGAGGCCCCGGAATCTGGCACTTGACTTGCATGTACGGGCTTGCAATATCCCCCAGGAAGAATATCCCTTCGGAATCGCAAATCTCATGAACCTGGATCTTGGAAAAAGGATCCGAGTGACTAGAGACGATGGCGATGATCGTAGATCGCTCTTAATGAATGCGGTTCCAACCCGAAACAGTGAAGGACTCAGTTGAAAGTCCATATACTGGGCAAAGCGGACCATTGGAATACCCACAGCAAGCCAAGGAGCAAGCGCGAAGGCTCCTTATGAAACATGATTCGTCTCCAAGCCTGTTGCTGGGGGCTCCGTTGTATGGAAAAAGAGATTACGAAAAGTAAACCCGGGTCACTAATTCGCATGTGTCAATGTCAAACTAGGAACTACGCCAGGTGCAAACAAATGCATCCCTGGGCTTAAGTCGTTGAAAGCAAAAAAGTGTTGTTCTCTTTCCCCTTCATTCGCATTGCCGCAAGTCAACTCATTCCAACTCAAAATCGACCATGTGATGCTTAAAATGCCTAGGAAAATCAAGGGACCCGTAACCAAACCCATGGCATCAGTGTAAAAGCCGAATTTTCAGAAAACCTGGCGAATTGGACACTGCCTCTTCATGAAACGGTTTCCGGGAATTCGCCGGAAAAAAAATGGAGACTCACCTTAAAAATGGGCCAACAAGGTGGGCCTTACAACAGCAACGTATGGGTATAGTCTTTGTTTGAGGGTACCCCTTGTTTGTGAGTTTTAAGGGAAACCGGCAGGACAACCACCTCTTCTTCTTTCTTTTTCTTTGGGGGAGGGGGGGGGCGGGTCCCCTAAAAAAAGACAGGCGCATATTTAGGGGCCCTAGATCTTTCCCGTGTTTCTCCCCGCTTTCCCACGTCCTCTCTCAAGGCGCCAAGTAAGGCAGCACCGCAAGACTCACCACCAGCGCCCCGACGAAGCCCACTGGGTTGGAGGTGTCCAGAACGCGGCCATCGTCCTGGCCCGTGCTCCCGAAGAAAAGTTCTTGGACGTGGGTGGTTTCCGTCTTTTTTGGGGTTCCCGTGGATTCATGGTTTTTTTGGGGTAATTTTGTTTTTTGTTTTGTTTTTGTTTTTTGTGTTTGTTTTTTTTGGGGGGGGGGGAAATTACCCGTGGTTTTTTAAACAGGAAAACCCGTTGCGCCATTTTGGGGGATCTGAATCCTGAAAGAAGACGAGCCCACCCTTTTGGGGGTTCCACGTTTTGACCCATAGACTTTAATCCCAGGGCTTGATTTCCCTCAAAGGGAGTCCCTGAAAAATTAAGTCTACCTTAGGGGTAGTGAAAAAGTGGAACTGGAACCTTCTCTTTTTTTCCCCCTGCGCTGTCCTTTTTTTCTGGACTGAGTGTATAGGTCCTTGTTTTGAACCTATGGCTCAGGCTGATTTCTCCCAGAAAGCCATAACTGGCTGTCGACTCACTTGCCCCGTAGGGACCGGGCAATAAGCCTGGGCTGTCCATTTTCTGATCTACTTGTGGGGTAAATGAAAAGCCCCACTGGGACGGCTGGGAACCACCTAGTTTTTGGAAAATACCCCGTGTTCGGTGGTTTTAAAGGAAAACCGTGGCGCCGTGTTTTTTTGGGGGGTCCGGATCCCAAACAAAGACGAGCCCATGTCTATGAACTAAGCTGGAAGCACGTCTTCCACAATGAATTCCCCGATGGCCTTGCGAAGGGCGTGTTGAGGGGTTGCGGTCAACAAAGCATTACGAACCAAAATCTCCAGGCTGAAAGTGGAACATTAAACATCAAAATCATCGGTTTGCTTTGGGCCAGTCACGAGGTTTTCAATGTTGGATCTACGCGTGAGGAATGACCATGACAACTTCCCGCTGAAGATTTGTGTGCTGACAATGGTCTAAATTCCTTCGTTGATGCCCATACATCTTGACGCAAAGCAACCCGTTACCACCTGTTGGACTGGCAAAGTCCAGGATCCTGCCCATCAAAAGACCTAGTGTGTCAATGAGAGGGGATAACTGACGACTCCTCACTCTTTGCTATGATCATGAATTAACTTGGTCTTCAAGCACTCATCCTGCTCTAATGCGTGCTACACTCACTCAGACTAACAGAAGGATCCCCCAATTGGCTGCCGTAAATGGGACCGCTTGTCTTCCATTTCGGAGTCCGTTCGTTGGAGCTTCCATGGATGCCAGTCGTTTAAAAAAAGGAAACAGATGTTTAGGTCCCACTCTTCCTTTTCATATGTTTCATGCTTTCGTTCTTAGCTGCTCTTTCGTTCGGTGACCCAGTCACGTGAGCGACGCCCGGGCACGCCGCGTCGAGGTTTTCAGACCCAACTCGGCCCCTCCTGCGCGGGTTTGGACATCTCCTCCGCCTCCGCAACGGCGTGGCTGGCACTGCGGAGGTCGCGATCCGGCGCAGGGCCTGCCCGGCCACGCAGCCATCCGGAAGCAAAGAAAAGGCATTGAAAGACACAGTGCACAGGCATAGGTGGCCTTTTCGAAAAATAGATGGCCCTGGTAAACGGAATAACATCTAAACCAGTGGAACCCATCTGATTCTATTGTTAACGAAACCAACCCCAAAAAGGACACCTAGGCCGCAGGGGTCACTGGATTTCGCCGGAGAAACAACGTGGGCGACCATCCGACCAAGCAAGCAAACAAGCAAACCATCAAGCCATGGGCCATGACTCAAACAGGCACAGGCTGCACGGGGGTCACTAGATGTTCCCCTTTGTGCTGCTTGGACTTTGCTGGTTTCAATTCAAAATGCCACTTCTGGAGAAATCTAGGGGCTTGATTCGCCATTCTGTTCAACCATCGCTCTTTTCCAAATCCAGCCGTTGTTCCTTGGTATTGCTGGTTTCCTGAAAGAAGGATCCCAGGCAAGAATGGGGAAGCTTCCCCCAGAAGAACGCAAACAATCAAAGAAACACCCGAGCGGAGAAAATGGCAAACAAGAAAACAGCAGCCTTAGCTTCAAGCATCGTGGGGCCCCGTCGGGGGCATGGTGCCGCTTGTGATCGAAACATGCCCTGCAACTCCTGGTTGTGGTCATTGTGTTGCTCTGGGTCGTGATATCTCTGGACAAGGTCCAGCAGTCCAGCTCGGTCATCCTAGAGGTCCTAAAGCCTGAGAAAACAAAGGAACAAAAACCATCAATACAAGAATGGACGGAGACAAGTTGCGTGGAAGTCGGTGGGACCTGTTGTCCAGGCCAATGCATTCACCAGACTCAGCTTGCGGGAGGGCTGCGGCGAGCGCTCGCAATGAAACGTCTTCTGGTGGGACAACCTATCGTGGACCCCCAGGGGGGGCTATGGCCGGGGGGGTGGGGGGCGGTGGCTTTTTTTGGATGAGCCAAGGAGAACCACGTAAGGCCGTATTAAGAAGTTAAACAACGGGAGCCTTGCGGGTCAATAAGCCCAACACCTGCCAAGTCATCTTCTGAGCCGAGTCAACTGGACGTCCGGCCGGCCTGGTGAGCGTCCGGACACAAAGCACAGCGCATTCAGCGCAAAGAGTGCCATGAGGATGCCTGCAAACCGGGTTTACCGAGTGACTGACTGGGGTGCTTCTCATACTGGGGCACCCTCCAAAATGGCTGGTTGCCTTTTGGTTTCCTTTTCAAGCAACTTGCTTTTTGGGTTCCCCGCAAAAGACAGACCGATTTGTGTTGGTTCAATGGTCGCAAAGGTCGGAAAGCCGAAACTACAACCACACTGTAGGTAGCAACACGACAGGAAGCACCTAGTCCAAAATTGCCTACTGCAGGATGAAGTGGATAGGATCTCCGACTGTTACACCAGTTGGGATGGATGAAACCCGATTTAAGTGGGGTAAACCATCTACCTGGTGCCTGGCGCCACAGAGTTTTGATACGACTCTTGTCACAAACGAACCCGGCTGGCTCAGAGCACTTGAACACTTGAAGCTTCGGTCAGGGGCCTGGTACGCTGTAGGCTTCTTGGAACCCAAATAACCGCCATTTTTCGGTTCAGAATGTCCATTTGAAAGACCCCTTATTTGTGTGTTCCATGTGAACAATGCTCTGTGGGGAAGAGGAACATTCCATTTCAGTGCCCAGCTCTTAAAAGGCTGTTTCGCCGCATTGCCAAGTCCAGAATGTGATGGGGCCATGAGGGTAAAATTAAACACTTGGGACCGCTCAAGATACGTGTAAAGCCTGCCATGGTGAGGCTGTTCAACGACCTCGTGCTTGGCGGTTCGCTCATGTCGCTGCTCCAAAACTCGAAAATGCATCCTTTGGGGGGCCTTGGTTGACATGGTTCTGTGTGTGCGCGCCCCGAATGCCATGTTGCCTGCGAATGTCAGCGTTGCTACATGTGCAAGAGCTAGGGGGTGTTTCAAAAGGGGGATCCCTTTTGGAGGCTGTTGGAAACACGCTTTGCCTGCGCACCGACCTTGACTTTCATTGTCTTTCCCAAGTCAACAAAACAAGAAGAAAAAAAACAGAACAAGCAAGTTCCGTTGAAAACAAGTCACCAAGGCTCGCAACAAGGCTAGGGTCTGTCTCTTTTTGGGGAACCACCCCGACCCCCGTTTGGTTTGTCGTAAAAAAGGGCAACCAAGAGGAAAGCCAAGCCATTTTTGCGTTTTTTGGGGGGTGCGAATCCTAAAAAACGACACATCCATTCCAACATTGTCAAGAGCCACGGCCCGAGATCGGAGCCTGCCAGCGAGCGCATCTTCCGCTGCGTTCTCAGCGCCATGGCTGAAAAAATGGCGGCAAAGCTGAAGGTATTGTGTGGAATCGCATATCTTCGAGGCTTTGCACACAACCTGGATTCGTGTTCTTTTCTGCAAGGGTGGTGCTTTCCACGTTTTCCTCATTCCGATGATGTATACGCCGCCGTAGGATCCCGAGCATGCGGCGTTGCACTTGCCTCTCCATGTGAAATAAAGCAAAGGGCCGGTCAGGCGGCTTACCTTGAGCTGCCTCAAGCCCAAAGCTGCGGCAGCCCATTAATGCGAGGGCAACCCGTCGACGTGCCTCGTGCAGGCGCCGGAAAAATCGGGCTTCCCGAAACTCCAACAGCGTCTCCTGTGCATCGTCCAAATCCAGCGTCCAAATATGGTCGTGTGTGTGTGTTTTTTGTGGGACCCCAAAATTAGTGGCGTTCCTTTCTCTTTCCCTTTCAGCCAACCCAAGCTGAATTGGATTCCCTAAAAGACACACCCAAGTGCTTCAGGGACTCACCACTGTTTGGCTTCCAACAAGTGCCTCCCAATCTTTCGGACCCCTCTGCCCAATGCATTTGCCGCACTCCGAGCTGAGCTTCCCGGCCCAAAGGTGGCAAAGTCCAACTGGCGCAGTTTGAACACTTCCCCCCATCTGGAGCCTCGAGAATAGGTGCTGAGGTAAAACAAATTCATGGCGGTGCGTGTTGGTGTGCTTTTTTTTTGGGAGAATGCCCCGTTTTGGTGGAGTGAAAGGGACACCAAAAGGGCCACCACCATCTTGCCCAAATCACACAGCACAGTAGCACCTGGAGTTTTTGAGGGGCAAGCAGGCGTCCGATTGAAAATGCAGAACTAGGTCCTCCAGTAAAGAGGTTATAAGGGCACCCCTTTTTCTGTAGTCTATCTTAGCAGGGGAACCCTCCCAAAAAAAAATGTAAAAGGCACCTAGCTGGGGGACCTAGTTCATTCAAAGCGTCTGACTGAAATCCCACTCAGCAAAGCATGAAACGGGCACCGAAAAAGTCGAGAGCTTGATTCCCCATTCTTTGCAACCATCGTTCTTTCCAAAAACTGGCCGTTTTACCTGGGTTTCCGGAGGTTCTCTAGAAAGCAGGATCCCTAAAACATAGAAATGGAAGGTACCACTAGAAAAAGTGGGGATCTCCTTTCGGTCGGTGCTTGCAAACAAAAGGAAGGACACAAACACACCACACGCACATCTGCTGTAGGACACCCCAAGCTGTCGTTGGGTCACCAAACCCAAACAGGTCTTGATGCCCAAAAAAACATGCAGCTCGAACAGCTGCAGTTGGGCTGTCTTGGCTCTTGGCAACCTGCAGGAAATGCTCTTGAAATATCGGTGTCTTGAGTTCTCAAGCTTTCTTCAACTGGTGGGTCCAAATCAAACCACAGATACAGACCTCTACAAGCCATTTCGGGGGCTTACCTCGTCTACCTCTTGAACCCCCAACCAACTGGCCTTCGCAGAAGCCTTCCCTTCGCTCCGGAAAACCGAACAACACCACGGACTTCTCGGAGGAACCCCTACTTCCGCTCCACAAAAAGCCAGACTTCCGCTCCTGGAACCCCCCCTTCCCTCCCTCCCTGTTGTTGTTTCTTCTCGGAAACACGTCAAAAAACAATACTAGGTCCTCCAGACTTGAGAGGTTGGAATCAGCTGGTACCGTTTCTCTATTTTAGGGGAACCCTCCCCCGCAAAAGTTGGCAAAAGGGCACTGGGGGACCTGGCTAATATCCATCAAAGGAAGCTCCTTTCCATTGGCCCAAACGGGTGACGCCTAAAACCACAGAAAAAAATGCAGGGAACCCAACCAAAGGGGTAAGCTCTAGAGGGCACTGGATCGAAGGTCGCAGGCCCGGGCCTCGGAGGAGAACTCCATCTGAGGGTTCACATCTGGCGCCACCCTGGGCCCGCCGGCGCCATCGAACCCTCGCTGTTCGGCGCCCGATAAGACGTTGCCGGAGGAGAATCTCCGCACTTTGTACTCAGGTCAGTGGATTTCCATGGGAAAAAAGAATCGGCGTCCTTGTTTTGGTTGGTTGGCTTTAAAGGAATGGGAACCCTTGCAAAAAAAATGGAAAAAGGGGGAATCCACTGGTTGCAACTGGGACACAACGCAACATCTCAGGTGAACCAATCCTGGATATAACGTTGCTGCATGTCTCACTATGTCTCACTAAGGTGGCCATGGGTTTAAAACCTCAGTCATGCCTTAAGCACATAAACAACTCAGACGCGTCAAGTACCGCCAGGACATCTTGACGACGCAAAACAAACAGGTGCCACTTCTTGATGGCCGGGCGTTTATCTGGAAAGGCGAACAAACACATGCCAATTCTTCCCGGCGGAAGCAATGTCTCCGGCGAGCTTCGGCATACGAGCCCGTGTGGGCAGGGTAATTGCTGGACACCACAGCCCTTTGTACATGCTGCTGCATTGGTGCGAATTGTCCCAAAGCTGCATGGTCCAAACGTCTGGAACATTTCCCAATGCATCTGTCAAACTCTGAAATCACAAAGTCAATCCACTTTCCCTCTCAATTGATGTCCGGAAATTTGAGGTGCCCATGTGCTCACAGCAAATGGGCGCGTCTTTTTTGGTGCGGGACCCACCTCACAACAAATACCCAGAGGGTCCAAGTACCTCCTTCTAAGGAGGTACTTAGACCCCTTTTTTACCCCACCAAGGGACCCTCTGGGATAGGTGCGTCTTTCTTTTTTGGGACCCCGCAAAATCGCTTCCGCCTTCTTTTTGGAGTCCCTTTAACACCGTGTGCTTCCGTTCCTTTGCCTCGGCCAGGCTTTTGCCGTTTTTTGGGTATGTCCTCAGCTTGGACCTGGTGGACGGTGAAAAGAAGACAACCTCTCCCAAATTTGCGACCTGGACCCTCAAACTAGCCCTAAACATGGGCACAACCCATTTTTAAGTTGGTTTTTCGAGGGTCCGGCTCCCTCAAAAAGCGAAAACACCCAAATGAGGTTCCTCTCTCAAATTGGCCCAAAGGCCTGTGAGAGTTTCGCCAAGCGGCTCGCTCTTGGGGGACAAGGGCCCAGAGAACCTGCGGAAACGCGCTGCGGAAACTTTTCTCCGAACCCGTCGGAGGGAAATCCATGGGTCTCCTTAGGCTGGATTTCCCCATGCTTCCAGGGGTCCCTGGCTCCCTGATTGCAAAGGCCTGACTCCCGGCATCCTCTTCTCAGTACCTAGTGTCCCTAAGCCCATTAACATAACGTCCCGAAACGGCATTAAAGTCGAAAAACAGGCGAGGAGTATGGATGAAAGATCCCAAATCAGCCGCTTTCGATTCGCAGCTTGGGGGTCAACCCGCGGGTCCATGGATCGCTTGGAGGAAACCGAGGCATGACTTAGCGTGGCTTTGACTGGAAAAAAAAATCCTCAACCCATGTCCTGCGGGAGTTACGCCCCAGGGAATGTGGAAGTCTCTATAACCACAATTCTCGGCGAACCATCCAAATCCGCAACTTGAAAAGCTGAGCTCCTTGTTAAAGGAGCCGTCATCACAGGTGAGGAAACGGACACTCCTTGTGAGGTCAGTCTAATTTTCCGGAATTGTTGATCTAGACTTCGCAAAGTCCTAATAATAGGCAGAAGAGACATTCGTGCGGACAAACAAGTCAAATCAAACCAGCAACATACCAGCAACGTCTGCGACCAAAGGGCTGAAACGGCTGAGCTAATATGCAACACTTGCCAAGAAGTGATGTACAGCACTAAATCAAACATCCACTGCACCAGCATGTCGTCGTCTTGCTCAATCCAAAGCAAAGCATGCGTTGTCCGCTCAGCTGGCCGAAGATGCTTCAATCGGAATGCAGTGCCATGTCTTCTGTACGATGCACGCTGCCACATCACGCGCTATCCCAGATTGGTGTAAACACACACACAACAAACTTAATCAAGCTAAGACAATTCCAGCGACTAGGTGTCCCCTATTCTATCTTGGTGTTGTTGCTTTTTTCCATTGGCATTGAACAGGGACACGAGCCGACTGATGATGATCCAACCGTACTCTGCAAACACTCATGAGCGAATGATGCATTCACCAAGTCTCCAACTTGGCAAGTGGCAGGGTTGTCAGTGGTTTCATGCTCAACAGAATGGGCAAACGCTGAACCCAGGCTGTATGTCGTCCAAACCTTGCGCGTCTTGTAATCCAACATGTCAACACGTAGAAAAGACATAGAAGAACGGGTCTCAGCAAGTGGACCTGTTATATCCGGCATTGTCCCTCTAAGGCGTTTAAGAGTTGTGTCCCGTTTATGCAAACAATCAGACCATGGGGTGAGTGACATGCGGCCCTGCTCAGCGACACCTAGTCGCTACTCACGAGACCTTTCGCCCCGCAACTGTCGATGCCTCACAGGTACTAGGTCCTCCAGTAGAGATGTTAGAATAAGGGTACCTTTTTGTTTGTAGTCTATTGCAGTAGGGGAACCCTGCCCCAAAAAAGTTGGTAAAAGGGCACTACTGGGGGACCTAGGGTAGTATGACAAATGGGTCACATCAGGCCGCCTCTGGTTGGTCGTAAAAGCGGGCGTAAAAAAACGGAGGGTGCCGCAGGTAAACAAGGGTCATTCGCTCATTCGCTGCTTAGCACAAGCAAGAACACCTCGTCGGAATCAAACTAAGGCAGCCCAGCAAAGCCTTCCCTTCCCACCTTGTCTGTCTGCTAAACCACCGCCGCATGCCCACATCGAAACCTGCAATGGAGCGTGGAGGCGGCTAGCCGGGAATGGCAAGCACAAAGCTTCATGCCAGAATGCATGAAACCATCTGGAGGGTCGAAGAAACAGGGAGGAGGTGAGCTCAGCATGCGTTGGTCGTAAGTTGCCTCACTTCCCAAGTGGATGGTCCAAAAAACGTCTGAACTTTTTGGGGCTTCTTTGGGCATCTCCCCTATGAGAACTCACCACAAAGGGCCAAAGTGAAGCTTAAAACCGACAGGGAAATATAGAGACTCTCTTTCTGAGTGGATTGGCGGAACAAAGTCAAACTTTCTATTTACCACCAAAACGGTCC